TTTCGTAATTTGAGACTTCCAGGCCTACCACAAATAGGCATAAAAAATTGAACAATTTCGGATTATCCTTCTTTTCGCAAGATTCCTTTGTTAGGTTTCTTCTATATACACATATGCTACTCGCTTGCGACTACAGAATAAGCTAATTATTAGCCATAGGAACAAGAACTGAAAGGAGTTGTATCAGATACGAGATCTCAAAAAGAAAGTTTCTTTTGACCCATGGCTTTATTTTATGCGATTTCCGTATGGGTAGGTGGTATACTTGGGACCGAATCGAATAATTATTCGATCATTCGAATAAATCATTCGAATGCGAATGATTCGAAAAGTCGTTCGAAAATCTGAGATTTCGATTAAATTCGAAACTCGAATATTCGAAATTTTCAGTTTTCGAATATATTCGATAGTCGAATATTCGAAAATCTTCAATTTCGAATATTATTCGAAAGTCGAATATTCGAAAATATTAACTTTCGAATATTATTCGATAGTCGAATATTCGAGGGTCATTCTTCGATCATTCGATGTCCATCAAATATTCGAATATTCGTTGAGCACCGAATATTCGGAAATTCGATAAGAATTGACTATTCGAAAATTCGATAAGCACCGAGTATTCGAAAATTCGACATGCATAGTGTATACGAGGTGTCTTAAAAGTAATACACCGTTTGGTCGCTAATACCTCTCAAAGTCTTGCCAATTTCTGGGTAACATCCAGTAGGGATGGCTTCAGCTTATAAATACAGCAGAAAGCGAATTACATCCATGTTTTTCTGTGTGTTATCACGGTAGGAAATCAGCATATAGACCAACTGCAAAATAAACATCCAAAAAATTGTCATCCAAAAAAGGTCTAAAATCTGTGCAGCAGTGTTTCTACGTATGCTAATTTGCTACGCACGAGTTTTCAAGCTTTTCAAATAGCAATCACATTTTTGAAAGCTGTTGCAAAACACTTGTTATAGTGTACCTGGTGTAAGTTTCGAAAAAAAAAGCATTACGGTTGAGCACAAATCCTCCATAAAGTGAGTGTCTTCGGAAGTCTAATGCAAGACTTTCGGCCCTTTTGATTCCCTTGCTTGGGGAAATGGCTCTTGATGTTTCGAAACACGCTTCAATCTTACGGTAATTTTACAACAGTGAAAAGCGATTGATAAAAAGCCCCATATCTAAGTTGATGTCATCCTACAGATCTAGATACTGTTGGGACCGCTGATATCCAATCGCAACTCAGTGAGGGTATATAATCTTCTTAGAAGTACAAAAAATCTCTTCACAACCGTCACAGGGGTAGCTTTTAGGTTCCTAAGTCTCTTCACGTCACGATTAAACCGTTTTTCCATCGTAAATTGTAACATAAGAAACTGTCCATTCTCAACACTTACATGAAACATTTTATTCTTACAAGGGAAGGAAGGCTGGTCGAAGTGGCCTTTTGAGATGAGATGTACATTGTTTTGTAGAACTTGGGACGTTGATTCCAAATCTACCTTTGCTATCTGCTGCGGGCTTCTGGGCGAGGAGTTATGGAGGTTTTTGTGAGTAAAAATCTAAATGCAAAAGTGGGGTAACCAGTGGGGTCAGTCGTAACCTTTTCCCAGCGTTCAAATGAGGCGGCAGCAGGTTGATATATTTAAATCAAGATTATTTGTTGCACCGAGTGAACCGACTACCAATTAAGCCCTATAAAAAATGTTACGGCTGATTTTAGTCTACTCTTGCATTCAGATTTTTACTCACAAAAACCTTCATAACTCCTCGCCCAGAAGCCCGCAGCAGATAGCGAAGGCAGATTTGGAGTCAGCGTTCCAAGCTCTACGAGGCAGTGTACATCTCCTTTCAAAAGGCCACTTCGACCAACCTTCCTTTCCTTGTTAGATGTTTTGGCATTTCATAGGCATATCTAGAGTTTTATAAAGTTCGAAAAACTTGAAATCTCTAAAGAAATATATTAGATAATTACACGCATTATTGTTCGATCTTATCATTGCAATCGATTCCAAACAAAATTGTCAAAGGTCAGAACCTATGAAAATGCAATCAATAGCAATTTTTTGAATAATCCGGTCAGTTTTCTGGCAAAAGTCGTAGAACTTAAAACTTATCAGATGATCACTTCAAACAACTAGTAAGCCAGTGTGCTTTGTTCGGTACTTTTTGAAACTCCCATAGCACGAAATAGGAGTTTTAAGTTGGTGCGAGCCGGAAAAATCGCACCTTTTGACCGTCTCTCTTTCATAGGCAGTCTCAATGACGTAAATTATTCGATCAGTATTCGAAAATCGAATAACGAATGATATTCGATATTCGAATATTACTCGATTCGAAATTTTCACCTTCAAAAATAATATTCGAAAGTCGAATATTCGAAATTTCCAATTTTCGAATAATATTTGAAAGTGAATAATATTCGATAGTCGAATATTCGAGAATTCCGATTTTCGAATATTATTCGATATTTGAATATTCGAAATTTTCAATTTTCGAATATATTCGATATTCGAATATTCGAAAAAAATTTCGAATTTCCCCAAGTATAGTAGGTGGACGCTAATTACGAAAATTTACTGCTTCTGAGGTCTTGACCACATACAAAACTATGAAGACTAGACAAAGTTATAGCTTGTCAAAGTGAAATTTCGGAGAATGGAAATTATTTTTGCAGCTACCTGATACCTTTCTATTGTTCTAGAGTCCAAACCGGAATTTCGGAAACAAGTGCTTGCAAAACCGCATCATTGCATACTACATGGTAGTAGATGAAGCATCTTCCTAAGGCCTCGGACAGAGTTCACGCGATTTGATCGTCGCGATTCAATCGCCACAAGACAACTGTTACGAGTTCATTGCATGCCGATCAGCTTGCATTTCGGTTGTGATACTTTTCCAACTCGAAATTTTTGAATGTAAAATGAAAAGAATGAAAATCGCGGCGATTTAATCGCGACGATCAAATCGCGTGAACTCTGTCCGAGGCCTAATGGTGGTTCCCACTCCCGATTGGCTGACGGCCTTTATCACAGTTTTTCTCATTTTTCATTCAAGCACTGTTTGGAAGCGAACAGAGACGCTAGCTATTTTCAAAGAAGGATGCCGATGTGCATTACATCTATCTGTGTCTCATTCGAAACCTCTCGTGCTTCCGCCCAACCAGGATTATCTAAAAAAATGGGAGTTTCTGGACAAAGCCTTTTTTGGGAACCGGGGGATGCAAACGTTTTTCCACATGGGAATCAAACGGTCGATCGCCGTTTCCTCGTTTGGAAAGTGGGCCGAGTATTCTTGAAGGCACATCGTCATTTACGGTGTCTAAATAAACGCTTGAAAGTGTTCTGTTTTGCATCGATATTCTATTGCTCTGACACTGATGTGCAATGAGGTTTTTGGATACGAATGTTTCACTTCATAATGACGTTTAGGTAAATCAGAAAGTTCGAAGACACTCTCTTTGCGACAAACTTTCTCTGAAACCTTTATTGCAGCTTTTGATATTTGTACTGGTCCCTAATTACCTGTTCAAGAATATTTATGTTGAAACAAGTAATATCATCGTCTTCTCCATTGAAGTCAAAAATCACATTACACTTTTGTAAAATAGTCACTGCTTGACGAAGTCGTACTCCATATATGAACACTCAAGCATATTCACCGTAGCCGTTGCCGGGCAGCAGTTGCAGTCATTGCTGAACCCATTATAGTGAAGGCAAACGGCAAGTTTGCGGTTGTTTTGAAAATAAAATCAACCTTTAGCATGGTTTACAAAAAAGCTTTTTAAAAGCACATACAGTTATGAAATCTTATAAATTGCAATCCACTGCAGCAAGCACAAACTTTGGGTAATTCTACAATGCCCAAAGTATTATTTATTTGATTTTTTAGGAGGAAAGTCGCTAGGCTCGTAACCAATCCTAGCTTTCAGCTATTCGTCGAGCACTTCCCTACTACATCAATATTCGGATGATGGCTTTTCAATCAAACGAAAATATTAGTTCAAAGCATTTGACCACTCTGTAAGATCACCATCAAGCCTTCTGTCACTAAAGACCCGCTCAAATATATGTAATTTAAGGCAAATTATACCGAGTTTCCATAAATTTATATTTTTAAAAGAATCTGCAGAAGGTGTAGCAAAGTTATCTGTAGTCTTTTCCGCCCAATATAGTGCTGTTACAACGTGAATTTCTATCCGACCTCCGGATCTCGTCTTCTCTTACTTCCAATTTGTCAGGTGCACTTGGTCAAGTGCGATGTGTCGCCAACACGGGATGAACGACCTGGGGTTCGACTCCGCCGTTGATGATACCTCATGCACCACTCTGAAGTATAGTGTGGAGAGCTAGAACTATCAAAGAGGCTGAGGTTTCGGTCGTTTTGACATAGCAATGGTACAGGTATTGTGCTGAATAATTTAAGAAGATCTTTTTCTTTTCTTTTTACGGTGCACCCTTATGTGTAAACAAATAAATAAATAAATAAAGATTCATACATACCTGCACGGAGAATTATCATAAATGTGCCATTTTCATTTTATTTTGGGATGTTCGCACTACCAGGCCCAGCAATTGGTGAGTGACTTTTTCAATATTCTCTTTCACATTCTCTTTCCTGTGTGTCGAACAGCAGCAGCCATAGTGACCATTAGCGAGTCAGACGTTGAAACAGGGACTTCTAGCATTTGCCAGCTACCGGATGGCGGATCAAACCAGCGATGGTCTTCGTAAAAGGAAGGATAGTTTGTTGGTGAGTATATCAGCTTTCTTTACACATAATGCTGGAAAGAGATTTGCGTATTGAGACATTATATCTCCCAGTTTTATTCCACTCTACTTCTTTGCCCACATTGTTAAAGCAGTGATTTGAAGAACCCACACAGTTAATTGAACTTCAAATTGACTTTCCATTTTCTTCCATTACATGCGATTTACTTATGAGCTTTCTCTAATAGTCATTTTCATGATTATGACTCTGACGATTCGACCGCAAAAGAGAAAGAAATGGACAAGATTGTAGAAGATATGGAAAAGGAAGCGGAGAAGAATAAAGAGCCAGATACCAAATGGAGGTAGGTAGAAACTTATATTCTTTATAGCACCTGGTGACTAAACATATAAAAGTCTTTGAAGCTACGTATTACAGCATTTGTCCTTTTTATGTATTTCCTCATCATCAAAAACATCGGAGCAGTGAAAAAAGCGGTCATCATAAATTTTTTGGCAGGCCAATGCCTTTGATCTTCTATCCCGTGAATTGCAGCAAAAATATTGCTGAAGTTAGAGTAGCAATTTTGGACATTATCCACTCAAATTTCAACCTCTTGCGTTACAAACTAAAGCATAAAAATATCGTTTTTCAAGTGCTCCGATTCGAAGTTACTACTTTTTGCAATCTTGTACATAATTACATGGGAAAAACCCAGAGGGAATTGTTAGACATAAGTTGACCCACCTTTTTCACAGGTCAAATTGAGATTAGTGCTTTTGAGCGGGATATATGTGAATAAAGTTCAGTGTTTCAAGGTCCATAAAATAACTCTCGTTCAGTCCATCAAACGTACGTTCGCCTATTTCGTATGAAACTAGCAGGCCGGATGGTGGACTTGATCGTCACGAATAGTACGTAATAACCATTGGATCCGAAGTTATGAAAGACTCAAAGCCTCCTCCATACTACCTTTTTTACGCTTTTACCCTCTTGCACTCCTTCCTGCTTCGTTTGCAAATGCGCCGGAGCGCTCCTGTTCCCGTTGTGGATTAGTCTTTCTTCTTTGCTCCTCCTTTCGCAATGCCGCATTCTTCTCATCCCAAAATGTAAATGAGCCCTGAAGTCTCCTTGTAAATGACATGGGGAGATGATGCAATGATCAATAAGTTTTTATTTCCTTGAATTCGAATAATAAATTAATATATGGATAAAAGGGCCACTAATTGTAAGAAAAGTTCAGCAAATCGTTGCGTAGCCTACGGCAAGTCGTAGCTCATTTGCAGAAGAGCAAAATTCAGTCTCATAGGTTCTTTTAGAAAAATTTCTATTTGGAACATACTTCTCAATATTTATGCTCTTTGCTGCAGTCAGCGATTCAAGCTCTGCACTTTGTTAAAAAGTAATCCCCTACTTTGAAAACAAAGAGAATACAAAAAATACTAGATTTTGCGTGTTTGCGCTTTTGAAAAACTAAGGAACTGCCAAATGCACCGAAACTGAGAAGTGTGGCTTTGCAAGACTTCCCTATTTCAGAAGCTTCGATGTGAAAATTACCATAAAAAAAGTGCACCTTCTTGTTGACATCCATAGCTGACATGATACGATCTCTAGCACAAAAGGATCGCATCTAACTCACTTCCTATAGCCACACTTCTCAATTTCCTATAGAGTCCAAAGCAATTGCTGAGAAAAGCAATAAGATTAGTTGAGGTGCTGCTGTGCTGAAGCAAGAAAAAAATAAGCTTTTGACCTTTACATATAGCTTGGCAAACAGAAAGTTTATGAGTGTGATTATTGGCACTGCCATGGACATTTTCCGGCATTTAATCCAAAAATGCATTGGCATGATCAACTGCTTGAGAGAAGTCCCCAATCCTCCACCTCATGAAAAAATAATCTTGTTGCTTGAGCTTAGTATCTCATTCTGCTACGATCCTTTCCAGAAAAATGCGTGAGGCAATCCGTGATTGGGCCGATTCGTCATCTTGCCATGGCATCCCTCACATGGCGCAAGCGTCAACAGTAAGGAATTCGTTTTCCAGGCACGTCAGTCACGAATGAGTACTTCTTTTGCAGTGCCTTGCGGCTGTGCTTTGGTCGGTGATCCTGGCATTTTGCGCAGTCGGTTTCGTTTTCTTATTCACTGATACTCTAAGGCAATACTTACGCTTTGACAAGGTCGTGGAGCTGAATGTGAGTCCTCTCCGTTATTAGATTTTTCATCATATCCACGCCTATTCAAGAATGGGTAAGAAATGCCGCAGTCTACCTTCAGGCCAACTGAACAGTTTCAGTCTCGTACTCAAGTAGACTTTTCGTCAAGATCTTCAGGCATATTTCCATCATTTTAATTCCAAACCGCGCATTTTATACGCCTGCTAGAATGTGTTAAGGAAGAATTGAACTTTTGCAGCAAGTCAAGTGGCATTGAGGCAGGTCTAGTCCATGTGATTTGTCATCGAGCTTAAAACAAGAAACATGACGAACCTTTTCTCAATAAAACAAGAAAACAATGCCCGATTCTCGGTAACAAATCAAATCTTTACAACTTTGTACCTGAAACTCGCATAAGAGAAAAAATTGGTACTCAAGGTTGTGTCAATGGTGTATTTGCGTTCTATTAAATTTCACTAACACTTGTGACAAGTTTTCTGAGATCAAGTTTAAATGAAGTAACATACTACAATAACAACGGAAGCCTTACAGACAGTGTTACACGCTCAGGGATTCGCGCCGTGCGGGCGGTCCTCATTGAAGCTCCTCCGCCTGAGCGCACTGCATAGTTTTTGATGTACCGTGCGTGCGGTCAACAATAAAAATGCCGTGCAAGCGGAAGACAGTCTACCCGTTCGATCGGCACGCAATAAAATCGACCGTGCAAGCGGCAGGCAATGCGTCCGCACGATCGGCCAGCAATCACTTGATCGTACAAGCGGCAGGCAATCTCGCCGCGCAATCGGTACGCAATAAAACCGACCGTGCAAGCGGCAGGCAATGTGTCCGTTCGATCGGGCGGCAAACATTTGCCCGTGCAAGCGGCCAACAGTGACCTCTACCTTCGGCTCATTGTTTTCACACACTGTGAGCCTAAACGGTACCTGCATGAGATACGACGCAGCGTTTAGGCTGGCTAAGCGTCGACTATCGTGTTATCAACATTTCCCTTCACCGCAAAGCTGGAATAAACCTGCGTGAGGCTACAGTTATCAAGAGTGATGGTGTAGGCTTCTCCATGGAAAGTTTGGGTAGTGCGGCAGGCATTAGTCCGTGTTCGCAGGATGTGAAAATGCCTAACATACCTAAGAAAAATGTTTAAAATACCCCATATAAACCTACTCCAGCAGCAAGCGAGCGGCCGACCTTCCCCGCGCAAGCGGCGAGCATTAAAAACCGTGCGGGCGCCCCACGTTAACCGTGCTAACGGCCCTTGACGACCGTACAATCGCACACACCAACGAGCGATTGTAAGTTCGTCGCTGGCCGCCCGCACGGTGCGAGTCCCTGAGCGCGTTCCCAACTCAAAGGGATAGTACATTTTTTCCAGCTAGGACTGGAATCATCAATGTTCCCATCGATCACATTCTGCAATGTCAACCCCTACAAACGAAGCAAAATTGAGATGGTACCAGCTCTCAAGGCTTTGGTCAGTTTACTTTACCCATTTCATCCAGACACCTTCACTTGCCGCGGCTCCTTTTAGATGGATGTGTATGAGCTGTCAGCAAGCGGATCCCTTTACACTGAATCATAAGCCATGTATAAGAAACACGAGAACGGAAGCAGTACTTTATCTCTCAAGCTCATTTGGACGAGTTATAAAATAGATTTTTTGCTATATTATTGGGGTTGTGAAGCATAAAGCCAGCACCACAACCTTAAGAAACAAATCAGATAAGTATGGGTCATTATACTGTATAGCTTTGAAGTAACCGAGTCACAAGGCACTGCACTAAAATCTATAATACTATGTAGAAGTATGCAATTGAAAGTGCTCGAGGAGCATACGAAGAGTGGCAAACAACAAATCAGTAGTAAATCGCATAAAATTATGTAAAAGCAGAGTCAGCAATATGTTAAACGATCGAAAGGGGTGCACAATTGGTACGCAAACAAGGTGCCAAAGCGAAAGCATTTAGTCGAGCCTCTTGGTAAAATTTTCAGGAAACACGCCTCGAGTGCCGTCAGCCTTTTCGCCCAGCTGCCAACCCTCATCAACTTGATCTTCAGGTTTCGACTCCAGAACCTATAAAACAAAATTATGACGTAGTGTCTTATATTAAGCAACAAAAACATAAAGGATTTTTGCGATAACCTAGATATTTGGAATCAAGAACTATCGGATTCTAAACGCTCTACTAAAACAAGACACTCCGCCGGTAACTGAAGAAAAGTCACGTTAGATATTTTTATACCTTCAGATCCTCTCCCGGACCAAAAGACAACTCATCAGTGTCCACCGCTTTGTACTCGTGAGTTGTCCTCACAAGGTAAAGCACCTATCAACGAGAAATGAACGGTTAAAAAGTATAGATTGAGCTGACAAACCTATGCTAACCTTACGAGCTTCCCTAGTAACTCCCTCTAGAGCATGGTCTGTTGGAGGTGCCTCAATGGGTACTTGTTCGTGCTGTTCTTCATCTGTATCCTCTTCGAATGGGTTTGTCGGATCCTTGACCTTTTTCGGAGTTTCGTTTGTATTCTTCTCCTCTTCCTTATCGGCACGAGGAGGCACAGCCGCTAACTTCTAAAAAGCGGGTACTCTCACGTAACCGACAGTCAATGTAGAAACAATTTTGACAAACATAGGCAATGTACAGAAGCACGGGACTGAATTTGTTTATTGGGAGGGATTTATTTTTATTGAAAAAAAAATCTATGTAGGAAACATCAACTTCTTATGTTAACATACATTTAGTCCATTGCCTGACTCTGATGAAGATAGTCCTTACAAAAATCCAAAGTAAGAGAAACCCCCTCATCTGGTTCGAACGTATGCTCTGGATCTGTGCAAATTTTTGGGGAGAAGAATTTGAAGCCGTTATGGTTCTGTACGGTTTATCTTCTATCTTTTGATTTTATATGGTTTATCTTTTATCGCAGATATCCAATATTACGAAAATTCATCGCGTTTGTGGAACTATCATTATTACTGAAGTTTAAAAAAGTCTCTACCAAACATAAAAATCAGACAAGCTAACATACCGGATAGATCTTATTCTCGAAAACTTCCTCCACATTATCTTCTTCAAATGGATTGCCACCAGAAGACGCATTTGGTTGGTTAGCAGCGGAATCTGCCAAAGAAGCTGGCGTCGCCGGAGGGGGAGCAGGGGCAGGAGAGGGCGTGGAACGGTGCGAACTTATCTGCAGCAAACAGATAAGCATTCAACAATACATAAAGAGTTGCGATACCCAACACCAAGAACACCTGTGAAAGTCTTACGTCCGCGACGCTATCAGTCGGCGTATCTGGGCGAGGTTCTGGTCGCGGAACTCGCAAAATGTCGATAGATTCTCCAAGACGATCAAGTTGGGAAACGATTTGTTTGTTCAACTGCAGATAAGCAAATCATGCACAAAAAACTGCAGAGACGTGGCCTACTCACCTTGCTGCATTCCGATTGATAAATATTATGAGTATTGAAAAGTGACTGAAGGGTGTTCACATAGAAAGTAATTCGATTATCGTATGCAGCAGGCAATGACTGAAAGTAATTAATCGAATCGAACTTTTAAAATGTAAAGCAATCAAGCTGGAGAATTTGAATAAGAAGTTAGCACCCTAACCTCAAGAAGTTCGTTGTTAATCTCTTTATACAAAGCTTCTGTTTGTTGGAGTTCTGAAAAAGCTTTCGCCACCTTTGGATCTGTCTCACCCTAAAATGGAAGCTATACGACCTGCACCCTTTCGTAACCAGCAGTAAACACCTTTTTGCTGGAAGCTTTCGTGGAATGATAGTTGTGCTTTGCGTGGTCATAGTCGACAAGTTTACGACCTCTCTTATCGACCTAGAAAGTACGGTAATCGATACAGATTTCTCTGATTAGACAAATCACAGTGAAGTTACTACGCTAACATAAGCTAAAAGTTTTGATATTTTATAAAGAGGAAAGGAGTAAAGAATGTGGATATAAGAGATGAGTAAAGAATGTGGAAATAAGAGATATGATGCGTTGGCATGCTCATAAATGAACGAGGTCGTTAAAACTCTACACACGAAAACCGATGGTACTAATTAACAAACAATAGAAGGAAGTTTAACTCTTTTAGCATGGATATTCTAGAGTGCCAGATGACAACTCGTGCAAAGCACTATATTTACCAACCTTCTTTTTCAGCTCCCCAAACTGCCCAACATAATTGCAAAGAGACTGCGGGAGTTCTTCGCAGAGTGTCTTCTCCATTTCATTAGTCTGGATGTCTAGATTCTGCAAAGCTGATGGTAATGCCATTATGGGGACAACCTATTTCGTCGCAAAACGAATGCAATACCTACATCAAGTATTGCCGTCAAATGCTCCCGTTCTGGCCATTCTGTCTCGTAGGACTCCCTGATTGTATCTCGCAACGTTCTTTCTGCTTGGTTTAATGTTTTGAGAGCTGCTGCGTATGCCTGCAAAAATTACTATTTCTTTTGTTGTGATGAATTTGATCCAGCTGAAGACGCCTACAAGATTAGTACCGTTCCAATGTATTTGTAACAAAGATTGACACGGAAAAGCTTTAGTATAAATACATAAAATATTCCTGCATTTCCTGTCAAACACATTCGCAAAAGGTTTCGGCGTCAGCACTGATGGATTAGTGTCGCTTCAGCTGTTGAATGGAAAAAAATCGCGCTAATCCTCTCAACCGCCACTGAAACCTTTCGCAGATGCACCATATGGCTTCGTCGGATTTCCATTATTACAACAAGGACTGCGAGTACACAATGCTTACCACAATAAAGAAATGCTGGTTAAAGCAAGAAAATAACGGAAATAAAATCAGGTAAAAATGCTATTGATGCATCACGTGAAGTACCACAAAAAGAAGAATGCTTGAACGTAATGAAAGGCAACGAACCTTGACGTCCTTGTAAATCTTTTCAAAGGTTTTACTTTGTTTGACGAGATTTGCAGCATGGCCATCAAAGGTCTCGTCTTGGGTGGCTTTCGCTTTTCCGATGCCTTCCAATAACTGTAAATATGGGATGGATGATCTGTAGTAAAAAAAAATCCGTTCTAGACATGACTGAGATCTGAACTAGATCAGCGTACATAACTGCTGACACCGCGCCAAAAGTAAGAGTGACTCTTTTCCCTTTTTTTATTGAATAGGAGAACTACAGATAACACTCACTTTTAGTAGGTCTCGGCAGCGAAAGGCAGAAAGGGGAAAATGCATCTTAAGTGCAGCAACAGAAGGAGCTGTGAAAGATTTGTAACTCAGCGGTTTGGGGAGGAAGATGAATCAAAATACACAGCCTCCCAACAACTTTGTTGAAACTGCACCGAAATGTTGAGCAATTATCAAAGCGAGCGCAGAACCGGGTGAGATATAGACTACAAAACAGATGACGGTAGGGATGGATGAATACCATCGATTTTGTTATGAGTACCGCAGACGTTCACAGGGCTGATCCGATACACTATCGAATTCCCCTACCTATCAAAGAAGCACGAACTTCTTGTTAAGGAAACCGCTTTGAACTTGAACGAAGAAATAAGTTTCTCTCACAAAGAAAGAGAAATGGGATATGTGCGCAAAAAACGAGAACTTTAAACAGAATCGTCTTCAACACAGTCATTGGATGGACTTAAAATCACATTTTCCTCAAGGCCAGACTATGCAACAATACTCTCTTATAAAAAGTAGTCATAATGGTGAAGGCTCAAAAAGACATTATCCAAACATTCTTAACGCGACAGATGGATCAAAAGTAGAGTTCGAATGCTGAAATGTGTAACGCATTTGTTATGGATTAGAAATTTACCATAGTTTCATATATCAGACAAACCTCTGTAGGTTAATGAAAGGAGACCAGAAAGAGAAAGAACTTGTCACACGAAAAATGCACAGATAATGTTTTTGCTTTTGTGCTTCACATCGTTATCATTAGTTTAAAAAATCAAGACAAAAAGAAATCGTTTCTACAGTTTTAACAATAAAATCTCTTTGCGATACGGAAGTATGCACAAACAGAGCATTCGTACGAGATGACACAAGTTATAAGCTAAACCCTCGGCAGAAATGGTGCGATTATTGCTGGCCTTTTCAGGATACGAGATGCTGTGCACAGGGAAGACTTCCTCGAAGTCCAAACAGCAAACTTTACAAATCGTTGTGTTTTCAAGCCCATTGCACTGGTTATGTTATCTGCGACAACTGATGACTAAGTGATACACCAACTCTCTTATGTGCCTGCAATAAGTAAAGCTAAGTTCGGTATTAACGTCGACTAATACTAGCACCAGATTTCGGGTTTAAAAAGCAAAAGCAAAAAAACTCGAAGGTAAAAACAAAAAAAAGATGCTTTTCACTCTGCCCTCTGCCATCCATCAAAGTTACTGACTGTAAAAGTTGTAAAAGAGGGGAAGAGAGGAAAAAAATTGCGTGGTCAAAACAAAAGATGCAACTGTTTTAATGTTGCTGTTTTTGTTATTATTAGAACTAGTGAACCAGTAATTGGAGGTGCTAGCAGCATGCGCGCGCTTCGGACCGCACTACGGTTTCCCGCTACTGGAAGATTATTCAACTAACGATTTTTTATTTAACGATTTAAACTGCGCCTACGTTTCTTTATATATTAGATTTCATTGAACAAAAAAAAAAAGCAAAAAGAAGGATACAGATAATTCAGTGAATATTTGCAAGTATACAACATCTCAAAAACTCATTGGAGGAATTGTCATGTATAAGCCAAACTATGCAATGTACGTATATGTAACTCCATCCCAATCAATTTTGTCAACAAGTCGATACATGATATAACTGCATGATGGCTACTATATAATCCTTCTTAAACTTGGCTGTTATAGATTATGCAAGCGTTTAGCAGCATGGCGAAAAAAGCAAAAGCAGCCTGCAGCTTCATATACGATTACCTTCAAACTTTTTCCGTCGAACTACTGAGCGGTAAAGTGCAAAGTAGCATATGCTCGTATTACTGCATTGCGCTACTTTTGCTGCACCTGCATTCCTATCCTGCGGTCACGTCTTCTTCACGCTGTACAGCCAGATGTGCTACTGGACAGGAGGAAATCAAAGTTGCGCAAACTGGCCATAACTCATTTCATCCTCCTGTATTGACTGCATGATGAAAATTCCAAACAAAAGGCATAAAGCGGATTGCGAAATTCAATTTAACACTGCGTGTTCTCACAAAGGGCAACATGAATCATGCATCGAAGTTGGAGAGGCGTAGTTCCATCAATTGTGATGAGGCTGCATCCTCGAGCACACTAATATTCCCCGAAAGTGGGAAAGACTGGCTTTGAGTCTATTAGAACACAGGCGCAGACTGTCACAAATCAAATGAGGTGAATAGCACCGCTGGAAACGTGTGGCACACGAGAAAGAATATACGCATAAAGCTGGCGTGAAAAAGATGAAAGAAAAGCATGTAAGGTCATCCAAATAACAAAATTCTGATCATTTAGAAAACCCACATAGTTACTAAATTCTGAGCGGTTGATAATGGCTGAAACCCGGCGATAAGATGTGTGTTAAAGCATTTCGAATTTCTACATGTAACAAGACACCGATAAGTGAACGCGAGAAATGTGGGTGCTCAGATGTTGACTAATCACTTACACAAGATCAGCTTAGTGATGTGTCTATAGCCTTTTCCTTACTACTAGAGCGCTAATCTAACCTGCTGGTAAAACTCACTTACAGTTACTTTTCCCACTAACGATATCTACTCAAATGTTACTGCTTCTTCCTCCACTCATAACTACTGAGATACAACAACAGTAATTTGACTAGAACATGCTATGGAAAACAGGATTAAATAGATCCCACTTTCTAAGAATGGGTGAGCGATTGGCAACAAAATAGTCGAAGAAGTGAAAGTCAAAAATACTGACCACATTTCAGTTGAGAGTGATAAACAATGAGATTCCAGACCTATAGGAGCATGGAAGCAAAATTAATATGTGCTCTGGTCTTGATGCTGTAAAGCATGACCTATGTCAATAGAGAATCAACAGCATAACATCATGATGGGGTTTTTGAAAAAGGTGCAAGCTTTTCCAAGCACGGACGAGTGTTCGTTCTTTGAACTTATATATACCGTACCTAACTCATGGTTATTAAGCATGATTTTTGGCTGAGAGTTGCAGCATCTGGTTCAAAGAAAGAAAAACGATGAAAACAAGCGATTGTACTCAAAAGTTCTGAGCAAACATGAATTGGGTGATGAATCATCCAAGTCAACGCAGGATTACATTTTCAATACTTCGCAAATAAAGTGCATAAAGGAAAAATGCTAACAATGGCTCACAAGGAGCAAAGCAAAATAACGCACTAACCTTCTCTTTCGTTCTTGAGGTGGCCTTCTTGATGTGTTTATTGAACAGATCCGCCATGTTTTCGCCCCTGTGCCAGAAAGACTGGCTACAGCTGAGCGCCTGAGTAGATATAATCGAATCTTTTGATGCAGAAAAACTGCCAAAGGAGGGCGAGTAGTCGGCCTGAGAGCCAACCATGAACTCGACAACGGACAGCTTTACAATGACGAGAAAAGGCGACCAAGCAGTAAGTAGAGTATTTTTGCTGCAGCAAGAAAAAAACAGAAAAAGGAGGGCAGGAATGAGGAAAAGAAAGTCAAAGTGATATATTTCGTTGAGGTCCTGACACTTTAAACTCTTCATCGCGCTTCAGACAGTAGCGATTTGCTAGAAAAATAACAGTAAGCTCAGCTAACCTTTGAAAATAGCTGGTAAAAGTTTGAGCTATTGGGACGCGATGTGAGAAGGGGCAAGGAGTGACGAAATTGAAGAGCCCAAGACTAAAAATGCGGGCCACTCGGTTGCAAGCGCGTGCAATTCTTGACGCGTTTCCCCTCAAAGGAGTTCCAAGAGCGCTCAGGCTGATATAACACACATCCCAAAAGGACATAATAGGGAAAGCAAGGCCGACAATAGGCAGCAAGACTGAACGGAGTAAACGAGAACTGACAATAATCGGCTTGACTTCGCACGCACTCGCGTGAGATCAATGCGCGGCTGCGGTTGCACACCTTCGCTGCGTCTCTGCCCGCGCCAGCCACTCTCGTCTCTTTGCGCTCTGCGTGCAGCAAAAGGTCGCAGCTCGGAGACGATGAGTCACTGTCCGCGCAACCTCTTCGTAATTCTTCGCGAACGAATCATTGTTCCTGTGAAATCATCCTTTTGAGTGACGCTTGCATAGGAGAGAAACTTCTGCCAGAGTGTAAGAGTTAGCTTTGTTCTGTTCAAGGGACCTCGTCAGCAGTGCGCCTTCAAATGCAAGTACCGTTGTCATCGAGACTAGCAGAGTTTCGAAGTCATTGTCCACCACGATTTTTCCTAGCTTATGTGGAGACGCAGACTCGCCCAGACGTCGTGACAGTGCCGCGTGGGCGGTACAACTTCAGATGAGCTGTTGCCACCAGGTGACCGGCGATCCACCCCAATTTCTTGACTAGATTGGTTTATCATTACCACATATACCATCGATTTCACAATTCGTGTAGAAGCGTCGTCGTGGCAGCTCAAAGCGCGGCAGTTTTTGACAACGAGAGGGTACGGAAAACAGTGCAGTAACGTGGAGATTTAACAAGTTTATCCTGATACTCAGGGAAAACCCCAACCCGCCTCTACACGAATCTTGGAGCCGATCATCTTATATATAAAGCTGAATGTCTGTCTGTATGTATGTCTGTCTGTCTGTACGTATGTGCGGAATAGAAATTTTTATTTCTGAACCGATCGGGACCAAACTTGGCACACATATACTTCGGGGCAGGGAGCGTGTCATAGGCTACTTTTCGTTATCGATCGATATCGATTTTATCGATTTTTTGCAAAATTTGAGCTACGGGGCTGGGACTTGGCACAGGGGGGGTAATCGAGCATGCTGATTACGAATATAATAATGACAGAACCGGGCGGAGCCGGGTTTGCCAGCTAGTATGCCTATAAATGTGAGGACAGCTGTTGCTCTTGCGCCTTCGCGCGGCAGTAGACTTTGAATAAAGATCAGTCATGCAATTTCAGGCGCGACGCGATTTGGCAATACTTCAATCGCTTATAACTCACAAAATTTTAGCTCAAGAACTTTGCTGGAACTTTCTCTATGAATTTCGTGACAGACAGAGATTCACACACACACACAAACGTAAACAACCCTTAGCCCGTTATTATAAGTTATGATCTTGCATTCTCAGAAAGTCATGCTGCTATGCATTGGTAGCTTGTCAGTGCTGAATTTGAGGACAGCTCGCAATTTGCCAGATAACTTGCCGGCTTGAACCGTGTGAGGTATTTTTATCGACATTTCCGTTGCCCGGGCGCTTTTGTAGAGAATTGATCCCTTAACCCCCAGTTATCGTGCACTCAAACACCGCAGCTTGTGTGTAACATGAGAGTTATATGTAAACGGTGATTCACTCAAATAGCTGTCAAGAGGGTGCCTATCTACATGGCTGAATTCGACTTCGCCTTCTTGCCAGCATAGATCTAATGCGCAACATTATCAAAGGATGTTGCAATGCTCATTGTTTACAATTCGGAGAAACTGCACGGCGTACGGTGCACCGCATAGGTAAAGTCTAGGCACGAGGTCGCCCATATCGCTATAGGCTAGACGCACGCGAGAGTATCTGGCGCGCAACAGCAGCAATCCGCGCAGGGTTGGCTTGCGGATTGCGCATAGGCATCGCTCAGACCGCGCCGGTACCCACCGGTATCCGTTCGAACCTGCCTGAGCCCGCCGGAATCCGGAGAAGTCATTAGAGAAGAGACATGCCTGGGATCTGACATCATAATGCATGTGTAAAATACTGCGCGCGTTGTGAAACGTACATATCAGTCAAGTAACTCAACGCATAGCACCTTTGCTTCCCTCATTTGGCAGGTTTCGGCGGGTTCGGGCCGGTATCGGCCGGTCTGAACAATGCGTTAGCATCCGCGCGCAAAGCACGCTCGCATGCGTTCAGCCTACGGCAATACGGGCAATTTCGCGCTGTCGACTTTAGTACGGGCGGTGGCGCCAAACTTCCGCCCCAATCGCAATCAGGCTATACGTTGGCCTAAAATTGCGCGCTCAGCGCTAGGGCTTCGCGCTGTGTATGCGCGCTGTCGGAGAAAGCCAAGAGATACAAGAACGAGCGCACAAACAAACCGTAGATGTGATGCAAAATTGTGGCATGCGGAACGTCCATCATTCCAATTTTGGTCTGACCGAATTGGGACAGACTGCATAGCGACTCCCATATCACTGTGCAGCGCATGTCCCGAGCGACTGCATTCAGGCCAAACCGCCTCTTCTGACGTCTCTCGTTGCTTAATTCTAAAGTTAAAGTTTATCTATAAAGCATGACGGCGGACTTTACCGCCTGTCTTTACGCCCACAGGAACATAGCACCCTTATACAAAAAGGCATTACCTCAGTGCTCAGCTCAGTCACTTCCAGTGTCCGAGTACTATCATAAAGCAGAAAAACCAGTCGAGTAGAGGTTAAAACCAAGGAAATGCGGTTGCCGGAAGGTGAGTGCGTACCGCGCGCTCGCGCCATCGTCATGATTTTTCGAATGCCCTATATACCTGTACCAGCGTAATTTTTCACTAATGCAGTCAATAAAGAGTGAGAAGTACAGCCACGCCTGCATAGAGTTCCATGGGGACATTTGCTGAGTTAAGGTTTTTGTCTTATTACTACTCAACGCTTTTGCGTGGGTGTAACGTTGGACGCAGTAATACTTTTTTCCTGGTTTAGACTTGGCCAATGAGCTTAGCGCGGGCAGATGTGACTGCTCCGTCACTTGCAAAATGGGAAACAGCTTCCGCATATGAAATAAGTCATAAATAAGTTATAGGCATTTTCTTCTTTCAATAATCATCCTTGCGGGCGCAATGCACCACTTTTGAATCTACAGTGGAGCAGGCCGATGGTGGTGGCCATCAGTGGCGGTCGCAGGATTTCGGACCGGGGGGGGGGGGCGAGACAAAAATTTTTTCAGATGAAGGTGCTTGGCGTTAGCCACGCACTCCGAAAAAATTTTTGGGGTGCTTCTCAAAATTTTTGGCGGCCCCCAACCTCTAAAATCTGGAAAAGGGGGCGTGGCGTCAGCCACGCCCCCGAAAATTTTTTTCATAAGGCTAATTTGAATTTTTAAAAATTTTTAAAAAATATTTCAATTATTTACAAAAATAAACAAATCGTTTGCACATTTTTATAACTCATATAGGTCTGTCTCAAACTTCCCATAGGTAGCGCTGCACGCAGCCTCATAAGCACCAAGCTGGAATCCCTTGCAAAAAGCGCCAAAGAGAGCGCAAAAGCGCGAGAGGCGCGCGAGGCGGTTTCAAGCGAGGGGTGTATTGCAAGGCATTGACCACTATCACTATCAAGTAACAGCGAAGCGATCAAAGGTAACATAAAAGGAAAAGCGGATAGCGGAGCGCCGCCAAAGATGGCGTTGTATGGAAATTAAAGTGACATCAATAGACCAGTCGATTGTGGGGTACATCTGAATGCGCGTGCAGGAATTCACCTAATCGGGAGCTCTGCGCCATGCCAATGATTTCTATGGTCGAAAATGGCTGATCGAGTTGCCTATGACTTTACTACACATTCGTAGGCTATGTACGCGCAGTCCTCTTAATTTCAAGGTTCGCACAACTGGTCTCGGACAAAGCAGGTTTTTGAAAGTGCAATTCGCGTATTTGCCAACAGGATCGAACTTACGAGCAAGGTTTGGATTCGGCTTATTCTTGTGAAATAGCTCAACCAATGGCTTTGAGGGCCAGTTCTTGAAATAGTGGAGAAATAATGAGAATTACTTATTGTTAGTTATAACTTGTTATCACATACGACTTTTGGTAATGTGATGGCTAGACATCCAATACAGTGCTAGCGAATCATTGTCATGTCCGATTGTTGTTTGACTCAGAGAAAAACTTGAGACCAAGGCAGTAGGGAAGAACTGAAGACAAAGAGATTTTTCGGAGTAATTAGATACAGAGGTCCTGGAATGTGTCATCTCAGGTGTTTGCGGCCTTGATTGCGCATGTTGTAAAGTGATCTTCAAAATTAATGCGATGGCACAAAGAAACTAAATTACATCTCTCTGATCGAACTCAAAAACCTGAATTCGAGAAAATCTCAAAAATTTGTCAAAAGAGTACTTAGAAATCTTCTCATGATAAAGCTGACGTTCGGAATTTCCGAAAAGATGTCTTGCGAATTCTTTGTTAACAACTGCATCTCTCCGAAACCAAATCGAATTGGCTGATTTGTCGTCAGCTTGTTTGCATTTGTCTGAGCTTGTTCTTTCAGTCTACAATCATTTTATTACATCGTGAAAGGTTGTAGATGACATGTCCGGCATCCGTAAGATGCGGCAGCATGAGTCCAGAGTGATTTTATTGAATCTTTTCAATTTGACAGAAGGTTGGCCCACTTCGGTTAAATTTTTGAGAAGAGTGGTCTACTACATATATTAAAACAGTCTCACTTTATGGTGAAGGGACTCTCTACTAGAATGAGATAGTTTTAGGGTAAGGAGGCCTTTATGGGAATTTAGAAAATCATGGAAATCAACACAAAAGATATATAAGTTTGAAATGGTAATATCACTGCTTTTCCCAGCACAGACAATTCTCGAAAGTTTTTGAAATGTAATTCCTCATATTTTCGAAATAAGTGAAGCAATGAGGCATTACTCGGTTCTGAAACGCTAGGAGACAGAATGACGTCACGCTCTATTTATGCAAAAGTTCACCCTCAGATACTGACTCATTTGTACTTTGAACTGACTGAACCAATTCAGCGACTGTTAGATAGTATCATCGGGTGAAAGCGGAGATGATGTCAGAAAAGATTGTTACAATAATTAAAAACTTCCTGCCTAATTTTTGACGCAGGATATTTTGTGAATGATATGTTATTGCCATTGGATATATGCCGCACAATGTCTCAAAGAATCGATTTTTTGACATCTCCACCAATTCTAATGCAATTCTATTTATTTGATCGACGAAATGATTGTTTGTAAATAACGGAGCAGCTTTCTATCAAAGAATTCAGAGATCGAAGTAGAGAAGAAATTCAATCGAACTGCTTCTTGAAATAAAGTCGCTAACACGAGCTTTTGCAGTGATTTGAGCTACTGACAAAAGCTTTATGACCTATACTTCATATTGGGTCGATCCGAAAGTTGTTGCTGTTTTCCAGACCCATGCTCAAACCACTTGGGATGAAAATAGATAAACAGTGTAAGCACTATCCGATGCAGAAATTCTTCCTCTTTCTAATGGTTATGCTCTTTTCATTTCTCTGATATCCGCTCAATAATCGGCGGGGATCTCCAACCCATGATTCTCACCCACCCTCAGTGTAGCTAGTTTTGAAATTTCAATTTTCAACTTCTGGACTAGCTTTGATAAATAGGTAGAACAAACAAATTGTAATACAATGAAGTATTTTGGCTTCATCAACTAACTCTTCAGTAGTTCTTAAAATAATTTTACCAAAAGCCCTTACTTTTGCGAAGTTGCGAAATACACAATCGCTTCAAACACTGACAGCTTTTAAAGACAGATTATTACTTAGCACTAATCTTAGCAAGCAGCTGAGCGTTTAGCGATTATAATGAATCCGGAAATTTCTGGGTACAGCTTGTTACGCGATTGAAAACAAAGATTATAATGATTTTATCCTCTAATATTAGGTTGTCCGGAAATTAGTGCCCGTTCTGAATTTCAACCGCAATAAGTCATACACTTCTCATTTCTAAATAGGTTGCAAAGCACCATTCGATAGAGCAAATCAAGCTGTACAAGACGGCTCTCTTGCTTTTGCAACAGCTCTTATCAACCTTGAGTTTTGAGGTAAAAAGTAAAAAGACTCAGCTGCCCGAAAACTCGAGAAAAATCGTAACTCAGTTCATAAAAATCCTACAAAAATTTTTACTCGCTCACGTAATTACTATCCACATAAGACATCTATATAAGCCTTTGCCGTATTTTTTCCTCTGTTAGAAATCAAGAAAACGGAAATTTTCGTGCATTTGCCAAAGTGATGCTGTACCGTCCCACATAGGTAGTTGTATACCACAAGCCTGTAGAAGTACAGACTCAAATTTTCAGCTCTCTACAAGCTTTAGTTCTCGAGAAGTACCGAATATAGCTTTCCCTAGTTAGGTGGTCCAAGCAAAAATTCAAATTTCTCGAGAACTAAAGCTTGTAGAGAGCTGAAGATTTAAGTCTGTACTTCTACAGGCTTGTGGTATGTATACAACTACCTATGTGGAAACGGCACAGCATCACTTTGGCAAATGCACGAAAATTTCCGTTTTCTTGATTTCTAACAGACGAAAAAATACGGCAAAGGCTTATATAGATGTCTTATTTGGATAGTGTTTACGTGAGCAAGTAAGAATTTTTGTAGGATTTTTATAAACTGAGTTACGATTTTTTTCGATTTTTCGGGCTGCTGGGTCTTTTTAGTTTTTGGCTCGAAACACGAGGTGGATGAGAGCTGTTGCAAAAGCAAGATGGGCATCTTGTAGAGCTTGCTTTGCTCTATCGAATGGTACTTTGCAACCTATTTAGAAATGAGAAGTGTATGACTTATTGCGGTTGAAATTCAAAACGGGCATTAATTTCCGGACAACCTAATATCACACAAATTAGGAAGAAAACAAGTCGATCAGAAAGAGGAAAAAGCTGCATCAACGACACCTTGGTTGCTAGTCGTTTACTGCTCTGTGAGGATTGAGATGCCCAAAGATGTAATTCGATAGCATCAGAAAAATATTTTTAAAAATTTTGAGAAGCCAGCTAGAGGAGCCGGAAAAATGTATTTTATTGCATTTTGTTTATTCTATCGGATTGTTATCCAAGCTAGTCCAAAATTGGAAATGGAAATTCTAAAAAATAGCCAAAGTGAAGGCGGGTGAAAATCATGGTTGAAGATCCCTTCCGATTATTGAGCGGACATCAGAAAAATCTGAACAAAAGCGTAACCATTAGAAAGAGGAAGTCGGATAGTGCTTACACTGTTTGTCTATTTTCATTCTAAATGGTTTGAGCATAGGTCTGGAAAACAGCGCGAACTTTCGGACCGACCTGATAAGCGTTTCAGTTCAGTGCCGACAATGTCTCCGCATAGATTTGCTTAGGTAAAAACTTCAAAAGATGAAATAAAACCAAAAAACGTCACAAAAGATTTGGAACAGCCATACATTGATTTTCGAGAGAAACTATTCGCAAAGTTACTAGCTGGCAAACCCGGCTCCGCCCGGCCCTGTCATTATTATATTCGTAATCAGCATGCTCGATTACCCCCCTGTGCCAACTCCCAGCCCCGTAGCTCAAATTTTGCAAAAAAATCGATAAAATCGATATCGATCGATAACGAAAAGTAGCCTATGACACGCTCCCTGCCCCGAAGTATATGTGTGCCAAGTTTGGTCCAAATCGGTTCAGAAATAAAAGTTTCTATTCCGCACATACGTACAGACATACAGACAGACATACAGACAATTCAGCTTTATATATAAGATAGAAAATCTTTCGGCTACCTTCCTTAGGATTAGGAGTTCATGACAACTTGATATCACAGGATAGAGAATTCCATGACATCTTGATATCACATTCTGAACATTTAAGAAAAATAATTTCTCGCTATTTATTACAAAATTATTTTCGATTTTAGCATATCGACTTAGCGAGATGAAAATAGATAATACTGGTGTTTTCTATGATATCACACCATCGCCCTTATTCAGTATTTCGGCGACATGCTTCGATTACTAGATGCAGCTGATCGAAAACTACAAAGTTGTTAGCGCGTCAACTGCGGCGAATGTATTAGGTTGTCAAGAAAATAATGTCCGTTTTTATTTGCTTGCTTCAACAAAGCAACAAAGACTCAACCCAACAAAGGGTAAGGGGTACTGTTCGATAGAGCAAAGCAAGCTCTACAAGATGGCATTCAAGATTTTGCGCCATGCTCGATCCACGGAGAGTTCGTACTCAAAATCTAAAGATTTCCAAATGCCCAAAAAATCGAAAAAAATCAGATCTTCGTCCAAATAATTTCTACGGACCTCCCACTCGCTCACATCAATACTATCGATATCTGATATCCATATGTGCGATTGTCGTATTTTTTCCTTGACTAGAAATTGAAAAAACGAAAATTTCCCTGATTTTTTCAAAGCAATGCTGAGCCGTTTTTGCATATGTAGTTCTATACTACAAGCCTAGGTAAGTATAACTGTAAATTTTCAGCCCATTCCAAGTGGTACTTTTCGAGAAATGTCGATTTTAGCACTGAAACTGAAACGAAAAAATCCGAATTCGTTATTTTTCGAAAAGTACCGCTTGGAATGGGCTGAAAATCTACAGTTATACTAACCTAGGCTTGTAGTATAGAACTACATATGCAAAAACGGCTCAGCATTGCTTTGAGAAAATCAGGGAAATTTTCGTTTTTTCAATTTCTAGTCAAGGAAAAAATACAGCAATCGCACATATGGATATCAGATATCGATAGTATTGATGTGAGCGAGTGGGAGGTTGTAGAAATTATTTGGACGAGGATCTGATTTTTTTTCGATTTTTTGGGCATTTGGAAATCTATAGATTTTGAGTTCGAACTCTCCGTGGATCGAGCATGGCGCAAAATCTTGAATGCCATCTTGTAGAGCTTGCTTTGCTCTATCGAACAGTACCCCTTACCCTTTGTTGGGTTGAGTCTTTGTTGCTTTGTTGAAGCAAGCAAATAAAAATGGACATTATTTTCTTGACAACCTAATAAATAGATGTGGCTAATTGACATTAGTAATTAGAAATAAATTCTGTATTTTCCTGCAAACGTTTGATTCTAGCTAGATTGCCATAACTCTTTTCCTAAATGATGACGGAAAATCAGCTCCATGTTATGGAAGATCAAAATTGAACCTGAATCTTAGATGGGAAAAACTGTAGTATGCTTATATTATTATCTACGTGAGAAGTTCGCGATTCCAATTTTTTGTGGCAGAAATGATTGGCAACAGCGCTGAATAGACTAACTGTTCCATAATCCTCACCCCCCCCCCCCCCTCCCCTATTGGCGAAGAACGCCGAATAGCCGTCAAAAACAAAGATGATGGTAGCTACAACTTTAGCTTTGCTAGTACTTGAAAATGGTCCTAGGAACCCGGTAAAGGAAAAAGGAAAAAAACACCCTAGTTTTGCATGACATATGAAAAAAAAAACGAAAGAAAATACTCGATTGATTTCTACATGATGCAGGTATCTTTTTGATTCGATAGAGTGGTTTCAAATAACCTAAGCAGTCTGTTAGCTGGAAGCGTGAGCAGGATGTCTAAAAGTTCCATGCTGCTTATTGACAAAATCTCATTTGTGGGTTGTTGTGTCTGCTCGAGAAACTCATCCATCTGTTATTCGCAAGTAGGAAGAAGTAATCGTAAGATTGAGCCGCTTAAACACATCATTTTCTGCATCGTTGTTACGCTCTCATTAGTTGGTGACAGAATGACTGTTGAGATAGGAAATACCATTTAGTAAGTAAAAGCACAATTTAAAGCAAAGGAATGAGTTTTTGTTTCGAAGGTAATAAATAAGTTCAGAAATTTCTTTTTATCATTTTGCCGTTTCAAAAGTCATCAAGCGCCACGACGAAAAAAATTCTTTGGGAAATCAAAGGAAAGTGAAATACATTTTTCAGAAAAGGAAGTGGATGAAGTTTAAGACTTGCAGTAGACTCTACCTCACTCTTCTAATTCGTTCTGTTTTTTGGAGACACGTGCAAAGCAACAGCTGACATGAAAGCCATGGGAAAATAAATAAGCTGCGAGGCTTTATCTCGCAGCTTTATGCTTCAAAATAATCATAATTGTGTCTTAGGCCTCGGGCAGAGTTCACGCAATTTGAGTGTCGCGATTCAATCGCTAGAAGACAACTGATACGAGTTCATTGCATGCCGATCAGCTTGCATTTCGGTTGTGATACTTTTCCAGCTCGAAACTTTTGAATGTAAAATGAAAATGAATGAAAATCGCGGCGATTAAATCGCGTGAACTCTGTCCGAGGCTTTACAATAAGTATTTGAATGGGTAGATGAATGAGGATTGGTGATAACCGGTGTATAAAGGAAGATCAATGAAACAAGTCTTTGGAAAGTTTAGTCGTCAAATAATTGACCATGCATATGGAGGACTAGTAAAGGCAGTCTCCACAAAAACTATGGTTAATATTATATGAAGCTTATTTGTGACTGTTATAGCAGATTGTGTCTGGTCATGAAACCATAATATGAGTGAATACAAAGATTGCATGTTGATGTTTTAAACACTGCAGTAGAGCAAGCATTCAAGGTTGTCTCAGCCCTTACAATTCCATTCTATTTAGTCCGTAAGAGAGATTTTCTGACTGCTAACCTCGTCTGGTGAAAGAAATAGTAGAAATCTGCTTGCTTCAAAGCACACAGCGAATAACTGAACTGCAGCTCAAACTTTTTCAGGACTCCACAAATACGGAGATAAGGAGTGAAGACAACAATGCTACTACCTTATCAGTTGTTGAAGTAGTTAACGCAGCCGGCACAAGCACGCAAGCGAGCAACAGTCCAACGTGCTACATTTCCAAATTTCCCACGATCGATTAGACTGTCGGGGTCTTAAGAACTCCTTCTTGGCATCTGCTGTAAACATTGACATTGAATTGGGGTGTCGCCCGCGGAAGGAAGAGGAAACCACACAAAGTGTTGGGCATATAAAAAGCATTCCAGTATCAAAGGAGTTTCGGGCTGCCTAAATTTTGGTATGCGTTAATTACCATTCGATTTTTGACTAGTACAAAGTAGAGGTAGTTAAGACAATTAGACGGAGATAATTTGACTACAGATAGTTAAGCCGTTAGCAGAATCTTGATGAATAGTGAAATCGTTCAAACGAAAGTTCATGAACAGAGGATGCTTCATTACCTTGGAAGCATTTCTGGCCAGAAATAGACGCAGATTAGTCTCCTTGCTCTAATTCATGCGTGAATTTTTCGAAGCTTGCTATTGCTGTTTATTGTTTTTATTCACACATGGTTTACTCTAGTCCAAACTATCGTCCAACATAACAACTGCTTCTACTGACTACGCTTATGTATGAAATGCCCATTTGCTTTATGAAGCAATCACATTTTGAGCGAAAATGAGTTTGTTGCACGCTAAGTTTTCTTGATATGATATGCAAAACTTTTAATGAGGTGCACTGACTAAAATACGCGGATAGATGATGGCAAAGTGAATAGTTTGTAAAAAAAAAATAATAATCATAATTAATCACTGATTTACCATGGTAGGGCAAAACATTGACGCTTTTTCTTCTGCTTTCTAGCCATTTTCTCCCAGGGCTCGGCACGAGGTAGCTAGATGAAAATGGAAAAAACGAAGTCCCCCTTGACTTTTGGGAATTTTTACGAAGTCCCCTTTGACCCTCAACCAAATTTCCTCTAAAAACCTGAAAAATTCCCCAAAATCCCCCAAAAAACGAAACGTCGACTAAAAAAAAAAGGTCGCCGTCGCCAATTTTCCGTGTCTCTTCGGTCACAAAAACGAAACCCCCTTTGCTTTTCGTCCCAAAAAACGATACCAGCTGGCTTACAAGCCACCTGTGCAGAGCCGTGTTTTCTCCTCATTCCTAATCGAATATAAATTTGCAAAAGTTCCGTTTTCGTTTGAGTTCTGGTTCTTTAATTTTTTACATGATGCAAGGCTAAGAGAAAGCAAATAACTTTTCTAAGCATCGACCATAGGCTTCCTTTGAAAATCTTACAAGAGAAGGATACTTGGTGACTGTGGCCTTTTGCATGAGATGTAAACCGGATATAGCGGATGCAGCTTGACATGCTGATTATAAATCTATGTTCATTATATGCTATGCGACTCTCTGAACAAATTTATGGACTTTTTTCCATGTTGATTTCACGAGATTTAGGCCTTCAGAATCGTCAGTATCCAGGCTTTCTAAACTCTGATAAATCTGAGACGGTTTGCCTGAGCTTAAAGTAAAGCTTTACTTTTTATGAACGCTCTTTGTAGTGCGTAAGCGGACAAAAACAGTGGTAATTTTGGGGACAAGAAATGTTCATAACTTCTCTCGAAAGAAAATGCACAGCAGAAGCGAAATCAGATTTGGAATCAGCGCTTCAAGATGCAATCAATGGCGTACGTTTTATTCCAAAAGGACACGATCACCAAGTATCCTTCCCCTGTTAGAGCCAAAGCTAAAACAGAAATAGCACATTTTCGGTAGTGGCCATCCACTTGCTCCTAGACTACAGCGATTATATTTTAGAAAAAGTCATGACTTTAGTTTCGACAGACTTTCGCGTGATCACTCCTCCAAATATTACTATCTGGTAAAAGAGGCCATCATTTGTTGTGACAGTTCAAGCTATTCATTATGTCTGTCCTCTTCAATGTCATTCCCTCACCCAATGTGATCCGCAATTAGGAGATTTTGCCAATATTTTCGAGAAATCGTCTGCAAGAATTCTTCCCTCCAATACGAGATGAAGAGAAGCTTTCCTGTCACTAGTTTTTTGACTCGCCTTCATATCATATCTGTAGATGCTAGAGTAGTAACGAACAATTATGTAAGCGATATTTGCTCCTCCCACCCTCGGATCGAGATATAAACAATGAGACTACACAAAAAGAACACAAATTTATTACGACGACGATAACAGAAATGTTAAATGGCAGAAATTCGCAACTGTTTTGAAAACGAGGCAACTAACACATGAAAAACGTTAAAACGAAGATGGGTTGAGTCAATGTTGTCGTCAGAGGTTAGACGGACTATTAACAAACGGAGGTCGAGCCACTAACGAAGGTGAAGAAGTGAACATTGCGTGACTACGCTGAGTTGCGAATTTTGTTCTTGGGGCCGTCGCCGGAGCCATCGTTGGGGAATGGGGCAGAATTGAGCATAGCCGCAGCAGTGAGGTACTGATGCAGATTGGCATGTGGAACTGGGTTCGGCGGAATGGGTTGCCCTACTAAGTGATGGTGGTGCTGGGCAGGATGGTGCATTCCCTGGCGAACTCCCAAGCCATAAAGATCAAGGGACTGGAGCAGGTTGGACAAGAAAGCAGGATCGCTCAGAGTGCAACTGAAAGAGTTTCTTCTCGAAGAACTTCTGTCTTTGTTTTCTCATCTTTCACTTACGAGAGGAGATTCTTGTAGTAGTCGTAGTAATTACAGTTCACGTTATTAGCCTGCTGCTGCTGCATTGGATTGATGGTTGTCAGCATCTGAGCGAGAGCTGCGTACTGATCCTCCACTTCACTAAATCATACAAGATCAAATACGACTCATTACGCTGAGTCAACGTAACCTCTTTTTGCCCTGTTTTGCAGCTTCAGCGAACTGCGAAAGGAGGCGGGCTTGCTCAGTGTAAGACGAATTATCCATGGTGGGTGAAAAATGCGCAGGAGATGAAGGACGAGTTGTTTCGCTGCTACCTGCAATCTCCTACTTTGCTGGCATTGTCAACAGCGTTCTTAGGCTGCCTCGAGAGCTGCCCGCGTGCCAACGTCGTGCCAGCGCCGTTCCAAGCGCCATGCTAGCGCCTTCACGGGTGTCGGCGAGGTCGGCTGACTATGCACAGTGCGTTCATGAGCTTTACGGCACGGCTTTAGCACTGCTGTTACGCGGGCGACTCTCTCACCCCCGCAAAATTAATGTTCCCTTTTTTTCTTTTTCAAACACAAAAGAATGAAGATTGCACACTGTAGGACTTACGCAGTGCGCCCTTTGTTGCCGAGGTAGGACGATAGGTGCCATTGATGATTGACAGCTCGATGAGTTGCTTACGCTTAAGTTCGTCCTTACCCTCAGGCTAAATTTAGAGAAATAAATGATTATCTGAGTCTGAAGCACTAGCCTACAGGAGGATGAAGCAGCTGATTGATAGCCTCGACAGCATTCCTCATCTTCTGCTGAGCTCTCTTCTCGTAATCTTCACACTGAATGAGAACATGCAATGGCTCGGTGTCATTGCTGCGTTCACGCCTTGACCCGTTCTGGAGATTATCGAATAAGAGTCTAATTGGAAATGCTATTTGAGATACCATTCGACTGGAGCCTCTTCCGCGGACCATGATTTTGCACCCAGTATCCTCTTCCAGTTGCTTTGCAGTCATGCCACGGGGACCCAAAATACGTCCGACGAAATTGTACTAAAATGTTCATGAAATATCTTACTTATAGAGAACGAGTCTAAGCGGAAATGGAGAAAACCCTTGGATAGCGATCCACTGGAACTAGGATCATTTCGGTAAGGCAGACTTTGTCTCCGTGCTCTTCTTCCACTGAATCATCAGTGTGCACTTGCGCTGACATGGCGGCAACGACGCGGGCGATCTCTGAAGAGAAGTGGGTTTTATTGTGATGAGACCTTTTTCTCCATTATTCCGCGACAAGAGTTGTCGTGCCAGCGCCGTTCCAGCGTTGTGCCGGTATGCTTGATCGCTAGCGCGCTATCACATGGACGCACTGAGTATTAATTGATTGACCTGCCGGCGCAGTTCCGTCGGAGCTAGCACACGCTGGAACGGCACTGGCACTGCGCTGACATAACGGGCCATCTGAACGTTGCCTTACCTCTATCAATTAGCCTGCTCAGGTGGCGAAACGGGGCCGCGTGCATCGAACGTAGATCACCCTTGTCACGAATTAGCTGGTCCAAGTACTCCTGATCGGGAATGGCTGCATCTCCAGAAATTGGCTGCGAGGCAACGTCGCATCCGCTTGCGAAACAAATCTTTTTCACAACTTCTTCGCTAGAAAGGCTCTGTAATGCGAACACTCAAAAAGGAGGATGCGAAGAATTCTAAAATTCTTGCTTTTAGCCAGTTGCAAATCTAACGTTTACATATTCCAGAAACTCCGCGCTGTTCGAGGATAAACTGCTATCATTCATCCCTTTAAATCCCACTTCATTGTACCCCCTTATCGTACGTGATATTCGAGGAAAAAAGACGCAATCTTTCATAGAATTCTGGCAATGGCGTCTTCGCTCTAAAATACTGCAAACTGGACGAAATCCGCATAGAAGGTTAAGGCCTTATAACAACATCCTTTGAATATCTGTATGGCGCGGTATTATAGCAAATGTGAGTAAACATTCGCTTTTCACATTTTCACCCCCATTGTTATACAAAAGTGCAGCTTAAGGTTTAGGTGCCGAGTAAACAAAACTTGCTAATGCTCAAATCGTCACCAATTTAATGAAGCGCAATTACCTGAACAAAGTCCTTTTTTTGTTTGCGTATCTATCAGCGGCATGCTGAATATCTCGTTTGGACACAGTCTTTAGGTGAGAGCTGAGCTAATTTTATCGGCGGGGAAAATTGTAGAACTTTTATTTGTTTTGTATTTGAGCCATGTTGTAGAAATCATTGCCTTCACCCTCAATTCGTCTCAGACAACGTTCTAAGAGAAGAATCTTTGAGCGTAAGGGACCTGTCAGAGTTTAGCGACGTTGCCAGTGTTACCCGCGTTACTGGTGTTATATGCCCAGTGTTACCCCTGTTACCCGTGTTACCAGTGTTACTCGTGTACCCGTGGAAAAGGAAACTCTGACTGCACCCACCGACATCCATATCGTGAAAATGAAAATCTAGGATCATCCAACAAGTTTCGTATATGTACCATTTTTCGCAACCCTTTACAGAAAGCGGTCTGTGCATGTGGTCTACCGTTTAGCGCTTCAATCTTTATTCGCTGAACAAGGCGGCCGCTCATTTAGTAGAATCGGGCTTTTTTTTAGTCTTCTGGTTTGAGAGTTTCAATGGGAATATGAGAAATATCTATTAATTTTGAGTTTTATACTTTTTCGAAAAGCATCGACGACGTTTTCGTACCTCATTCCTGTGAGGCTCGGCAGTCGGAAGACGTGAGTTATCTTCACTCGCTATCTCGACGCCTTGGTCAGATCCTTTAGTTGGTACCTGGACGTAGATCTTGAATTGACTTAATCCTGCGATTTCTTCTCGCTTACCATTGTGGAAAGTATAGACGAGCAATTGTTAGCTAGAGGTATAACAAGCGAGACTGTTAGATACAGCTAAGGTATCTGAAATTAGCTAAGGTATCTGAAATTATTAAGGTTGGTATGGTAAAAGCAGTTGACTGGAACTTTAGCAACCGACCAGCTGGAGATGTCTACCGGTGAATCCTTGACAGCGCAATGAGAGATAACTACTAACTTAGCTTTTATATCATTGTTGGAGGCTACGTGGCTAAACGAATCGAACGCGTTCACAAACCCCCGAAAAGTTTGGCAGAACTCGTCCAACTCAGATAACTATTTGAAGTGATAGTTCTTTCATCGAAGATAGTCGATAAAAATCTGTTTCGGCAGTTTTTGCAATGGAAGAAGGGCTTCTGTCAAGGGACTTCACGGATAGATATAGCTTTGCCAAACTAGTATGTCTAGAGTATTACCCACCGAGAATTCGGTGAGGATGAGTAGAAACAAGATGAACATCACTTGAATAGCGGCTGAAATGTATTTATGGGCTTACAAGCCGACAACAAACCAAACTCATTTTGTTGTGATTGTATGTTTAAAGTGCCCGAGAGGTAGTAGTGAGTTCATGACGAGATATTTGTGAGATTTCCTAAATAACTGTCAAATTTCTCCGGTAACAAAGTTTCGAGGAGTAAAAAGACCCACACAAGCGTGCAGCTTCTTAGTATTTCTGCTTGTTAAAAAAGTTCAAGAAACCATACTCGGAAGCAGAATTTGCGTGAGCCCAAGACGTCAACCGATTTGATGCTAAACTACTTGATTGAACTACAATTTTTCTTCTAGCGAAGCCCTAAAGTGGAATGATTGTGGTTATCTGTTCTACTTGTGATTGGCGAAGTGCTGATTCTCAAACTACAAAACCGCTCACAATTTTTGCAGAACAAAAAGAAAAGAGCAAATCGGAGTAGACTTAGGCGACCGTCGCGTAAGTCATGCGATACAGTTATGATTACACTGGTACGCCTTAAGCTCTGTATAGAGGCTTTTTCGATGCGCTCATTACAGAAATAATATTTATTTGTTGGAGGAGTGGTACACTGTAGAGTTACGGCAAGTGTACGGTGAGAGTCAATTTGCATATATATATATATATATATATATATATAATATACATATATATACAGTGACCGCCAAAAAGTTGCGGACAAGCCGCCTTCCTTTTTCATCTCTCATTTTCGGATAGAAAACGAAGATGAAAAAATGATTGGATTGCATAAGGTGATAGAGCTCACCAAGAGCTACAACACACACGTTGCGATTTCTGGAAAACATGTATTATAAAAGTTTTAAAAATCTTTTCCTAAAAAAAGACCGAAAATGGCCGCGTCACAATGTCGCGGACAATAATTCTTCGAACGCGAAAATTTTGCTTTAGGTCTTTGTTTTGAGCAACATTAGAACTTTTCCGGACAAGTAAGCATACTATGTCATAGAGCTCATCGAGGACAATAACCGGGTAATGGTTACTTGTAAAAAAACCCAAGCTTGAATTTGTTTCGCTTTTTTTCAAAAATAATTTTTAATTCCCTTCTTCAAGCCAAATTTCCCTAACATGGAAACCTATTCAAGGCATTCCAACAAGGCAATTCGGATAAAATGGATGCCCTTTGCCATCCTCTATGCATTGGCAGAACGTGTGAAAATGGACGTGTGCAGGTGTGTTTCTTTGCTAGAAATGGCTCTTGACAGTGCGTGCACATGACCCCACCTGCATCTCACCGCTAACTTGCACCGCTTTGCAGGCTTGTATCAGAGGCAGTCAATCCATGAGCCTGCAAGTAGGCTCTTTCGAAAGAGCGTGACATTCTGGACACGACAGTATGCAAAAGAGTTGGGTATGTGAAACAGCACAGATTTGGCGGATGGGGTGACAAGGCGCAGCCTTAGAGGTGAATGGAGTGAAGGGTTTTATCAACACTAGAACGGTCTTAGAGCTCGGAAATGGATCTATTACAAGAAAACTGACGGTTTTGAACTTCCAGGATGGAACTGGTGGCGAAATAAGCTTTGCTCAACTTTAGCTGAAAAATCCTTAGCCTACCACTGAAGCTGCGCTTTGTCACCCCATCCGCCAAATCTCTGCTGTTTCACATACCCAACTCTTTTGCATACAGTCGTGTCCAGAAAGTCACGCTCTTTCGAATGAGCTTACTTGCAGGCTCGTGGAGTGACTGCCGGCCGAGATACAAGCCTGCAAAGCGGTGCAAGTCAGCGATGAGGTGCAGGTGGGGTCATGTGCACGCACTGTCAAGAGCCATTTTCAGCAAAGAAACACACCTGCACACGTCCAATGCATAGAGGATGGCAAAGGGCATCCATTTTATCCGAATAGCCTTGTTGGGATGCCTTGAATGGTTTCCATGTTAGGGAAATTTGGCTTGAAGAAGGGAATTAAAAATTATTTTTTGAAAAAAAGCAAAACAAATTCAAGCTTGGGTTTTTTGGAAGGAACCATTACCCGATTATTGTCCTCGATGAGCTCTATGACATAGTATGCTTACTTGTCCCGAAAAGTTCTGTTGTTGCTCAAAACAAAGACCTAAAGCAAAATTTTCGCGTTCGAAGAATTATTGTCCGCAACATTGTGACGGGGCCATTTTCGGACTTTTTTTAGGAAAAGATTCTTAAAACTTTTATAATACATGTTTTCCAGAAATCGCAACGTGTGGGTTGTAGCTCTTGGTGAGCTCTATCGCCAAATGCAATCCAATAATTTTTTCATTTCGTTTTCTATCCGAAAATGAGAAATGAAAAAAGGAAGGCGGCTTGTCCGCAACTTTTTGGCGGTGCGCCGCATTTCATGGAACCAAGATTTTCAAGAGCTCTTCGAAGCATTCGATGCAGTATTTTATCCTCTCTCTAAAGGCTTTAACTTCATTACTTAATATTCAATGAGCTCTCGAAAAATTATCTAAATCTGCGACTCATGCTTTTTGCCATGGCGAAGTTCGGCTAATTTTCTAAATTTTTGTATCTACTCTCCGAAGAAGTACAAATGACATGTGGATAGAGCAAACCCTATAGGACACAAAACAATTTTTTTCCTCTTCCTTAGCTTGCTTCTTAAAGTTTCTGGAGTCAACTTTTCAATGCTATCAAATTCCATATTTGGTCAACTCAAACCTCACAGAACAACAACCGGCAAGCAATTCGCTTGTCTTTCGACGCAGCTTTTTCTTCTCTTTCTACCAGTTGTTTTTTCTTTTCGACTCATCAAGTTTTCCGGATAAAATCATCATAATTCAGGTTTTCCAGGGCGCCCCAGGCTGTACCCAGAATTTTCGAAAGTTGCTAATCTGAAGCGGCGAATGCTCATTTGGTTTGTAAAATCAATGTCATAATCCATCTTTGTAAGTTTCAAAATCCGAAGATTTATTGGTGTTTGATGCATTTGTGTCTAAAACGAGCCTGCTAAAATTTGGTGGTTCCATCAAAAAATCTTCACGAAAATTATGACGAACTTTGGAAACAAAGTTGTGCCGTTTCTTGGAGGGTTTATTCTATCCATGTATAACTTGGACTCCTTCCGAGGGTTGTTAAAATCTAGAAAAATTATGGAAGTTGGCCTTCTCAAAAAGAACGGTCGCAGATTTTGATAGTTTTCGAGAACTCATTAGATTTTGTGCAGTGGATTATAACCATTAGAAAGAGGATGAAATGCTGCATCAAATGCTACCAGAACCTCTTACTTATCTTTGTTTTACGAGATGTGGCGTACGTTCAAAAAAGCGACATTACTTTCGGAACGACCTAATAAATTATGTTGTCCCGAAAGTTCTGTCGTTTCATTTTTGAAAATTTGTAACTTTTTGCTTTCCCAAAGGATTTGCTTCTTTATATTTTCTTTAGAAAGAAGAAGTCTTCCTTTTGTAGAAATGTTTTGGAGAGCTTCAATTGTACATTCATTGCAGAGATAAAAATGGAAAAAGAAGACCACTCGAGCCCTACCATTTTAAGTTAGGTCGCCAAAAGTCTGGAACGCAGTAGAATAATCTGTAACTGTCAGTATATAAGTTTCAAGACCTACCCTTTGCAAATGAGAAAAAACTGTGCTGTTTGGACGTCTGTGTAAAAGTATAAATTTCGAGTTCACAATAGAAAACGCCAAATTTGAATACTTTGTCGCTTTTCCCGGAAATCATAACTTCTCATTGAAACGTTCAAACAGCACAATTTCTCCCGATGCAGAGCGTAGGTCATAAAACTTATATACTGACAACCCCAGATTTTTTTGAGGCGTTCCAGACTTTCGGCGACCTAACTTGAAATGGTTAAAGCTCAGTTGGTCTTCTTTTTCCATTTTTATCTCTGCAGTTAATGTATAATTGAAGCTCTCCAAGACACTTTTACAAAGAGGAAGACTTCTTCTTTCTAAAAAAATTAGAAAGAAGCAAATCCGTTGAGAAAGCAAAAAGTTACAAACTTTCAAATATGAAACGACAGAGCTTTCGGGACAACTTAATGTATATATTTTCAAAAAGTTGCTAGTGAGGCGATCAGATGCGCTGTTTATGACAAACTGACTCGTTCGGTAACGGAGGCGAGTACGGTGGGTGTATGGTAGTATGCCAGTTAACGAAACTTCTAAAATGCCTGGGTTGGGTTGCACAGTGCGCTGATTACATGCATTAGCTGTTGGTGACATTGTGAGATTCCAAACCCACAAAATAACTTTCTTGCGATACCGCTCACAAAACGTGCAAATTTTCCCCGATTATCGCGAAGCACCGCGAAATTCCGGAAATTCCACGGAATCAAAGGAATCACGCAAACTACGCAGCGCCATAACTTCCTTCCGAACTAGGTGCGATAGTCTGAGATGGGTACCCCACCCCCCAAAGTGAAAAGAGGCCCAGCTGTTTTTGACTCTCAGAAGTGAAGGGTGTCCAAAGGGGGGGGGGATTTTATAAAAATGGAAAAAACCATAAAATTATCCAATTTAAATACTCAAACTTTTAAATGAATTTGTACAATTTTTTATAATTGGTGAAATATTTACAGTACTTTGTTTTCAAAACTTATACGGTGTATGGAACGAGAATGTTGGAGACGGTAAGTACTTAATCAGAAAAATTTATGCCTAATCTGATTTTACATCTGTTTTGAGGGTGTCTGACTTGGTAGTTTCTAACACATTGCAACTTTGTT